CTCAGCTGCTCACAGTAGATTCCGCCATGGAGTTGATTACCAGTCTCATCATGGGGAATACTATATCCAGCTGCCTAGCCACTCAACCAGGCCCAGCCAAGTTGACACACACACTGAACTACCACACTACCTTTCTGACTACTTTTACCTCCCTACCTACCCTTCTGAGATCCTTGCCCCTCCAACATCTCACTACTTCTACCTCAACCCCTTTTCTACTCATGTTTTTCCCATTCTGACTATCTATTCATGTCTCCATGGGTCTGAACAGTTCTGCCTCCTCTTACTGTCTTGCCATTCATCTGTGTCTCCTCTCTCTGTCCCTCCCATCTTGTCCTGCCATCTATGTTCTCTCTTCTGTCTGATTATCTACTTTTGCTTTCCCTGTCCATCTGACTTTTCCTTCCTCATCTGTCCATCCCTGCCTCCTCTATCCATCCATCCAAACACCCATGTCTATATGCCCCACCAATCCATCCCATGTCCCTCTACTCCATGGGCCCACTCTTGCCCTCACACACAGGGAATAGCACAACTGGCACTGTGAGAGTCACCGCAAGCAGCACAGCCAGGCGCACACAGAGGATGAGCAGGTCCTTCTGGCTGTACATGTGCAGCATCTCTGGCTCCACGCTGCCTGGGCCATGAAACATAGGATGCAGGATGTGGCAGGAGCACCAAGACTAGTGCCCCAGAAACACATACACATAAATGGTGACAAAATCTACACACATGATGCATACCCTCCCTTTGAAAATTGATGGGTCTCAAGGCAAGAAGAAAACAACTGAGGCTCCCTGCCCCACCTCTTTGCCCATCCTCCACCCCAGCTTCCACCCAATCCTGGCCCCAGCCCCACTCACTGTAGAAGGTGAGGTATCCAAAGGTTGCTGTGAGCCCGTACATGCAGAACATGGCCCCAATGGACACATTGGCCACGGCCTGCATCTGGCGCTGGGAGGGCCTGAGGTGTAGGTCATGGAATTGTCATGCCCAAATCCCTGAACTTGGCTCAGGCCCCTCAAAGCTACCCCACCCCTCAGAGTCCCTCCTCCCAGAGCTGACATTCAGCTGATACACAATGGGATGCCCATCCCTGCCTCTCCTATGTGATTAGCCAAGCCTGTTCTCTGTCTATATGGTCAGTCTATATGACCATCCTTGTCCATCCCCTCTGTGTGACCATCTCTGTCTCTCCCCTTTAAATGACAGTCACCACCTCTCCCTTCCATCTGACCATGCATGCCTTCCACCTGTGGATCCATACCTCCCCCCATCTGATTATCTCTGCTTCCCCACTCTGTCTATCTACACTTGTACTGAATGTTACAATATAGAATACTTAAGTCTCAATCAGTGAAAAGTCACTGTCCTGAGTCCCCTGAGGCCTCCTGGCCACCCCAAATACCTCCCTTTGCACAACCATTGTGGTTATCACCCTTCTTGTGGCCCATCACATATGTCCACTCTCCTGCCCACTCACCGGGAGAGCTCCGAGTAGATGGGCAGTACCTCAGGGTGGCAGACGAAGGCGAAAGCCATGATGGGTACTGTGTAGGACATCTAGGACAGCAGCCCAAGTGCATAGGATTAGAGCCTACAGGGGTCTACGCCCTCCTCACCACCCTCCAGGCCCTGCCATTGACTCCCATATCAGACATTTAGAAGCTCCAGATGTCTAATACTGACTCCACACTGATAAGGGTACACTGTGTGACAGGGATGGAGGACCTGAGCACAGTGCAAGCTCCTACATGCCTGCAGACTTACCTGTGAGTCAACTGTGAACATCCGAGCCTCACAGCTTCTGTTGAGCCCCTGGATGAGGTGGTCCAGTGGGGCCTCACTCTCTACTGCTGTCTCATTGCGGCCCACAGCACAGCCAAGCTGGAACTTCTTATAGATAACCTAGCAGGGTGGTATAGGGGAGCAAGGTCATGGGGTAGGCTATGTCCCAAATGCTCTCCCAATTTGTTCATATCCTTCTCTCTCAAACTCACCGAAATGAGGAAAAACAGCATACAGGCCAGAGAGAGGCCGCTGGTATATCCCAGGTAGCCTACCAGGGGCAATACACAGAGCTTCAGAAATCAAACTCCAGTACCTAGTCTAGCTTTCAAGATTCCCTTATTTCAATTATATGAGAGTATATATGAAAATTTAGGAGCTCTGGTAGCATAGTGCCTAAGGCACTTGACTGCTAACCAGAAGGCTGGCGGTTCATACCCACCAGCCACTCCTCGGAAGGAAGGTTGGGCATTCCTACTTCCATAGTGATACTGCCTCAGAAACCCAAGGAGGGGTCACTATGAGTCGGGGCCGACTTGATGGCAAATAACAACAACAACATATGAAAATTTAATGCTACACCTTTGCACAAGCTTTTACTTCCACCTGAAGTAGACTTCCCTCCATAGCAAACTCCTATTCATCTGTTAAAACAAGCTATCTGCTGGTATTCTACAACCCTTGAGAATGAGGATTTTCTCAGTCTGGGTGCCCCTTTCTAACTCTACTATCCAAAAACAAACCCAGAAAGCCTCTTACCCAAGTGTTTCATGAGAGCCAAGGGAAAAATGATGAACAAATTGATGATGATGAGGAGGAGGTTTCCCTTCAAGAACCAGTGCCTAGGAAGATAGGCAGACATAGTAACTAACTACAGCCAAAGAAAACGGTCAGACAGACACTCATAGAAGCAGTTGGACAGACAGATTTATGCCTGCAGTAAAGACAGATGAACCCACACCTCAGCTGTGAGAAGTCATCTAGATGGTTACAGTGACAAACAGCACAATATGATTGATAGAAACAGTCAAACTAATGATCAGACTGTCATTCAGACACTGTCAATGTGATGCAGCTGAAAACACATGCACAGCCAGACAAAACTGTACTGTCAGACTTACAAATAGACATATAATCAGATGGTCAAACATTCAGAATCAGACTCACACAGTCCAACACAAGGTGACAGACACAAAGACAGAATGAGAGTCATGACCCTGGCATGTTTGACAGGTAGAACAGTGTGATGATCTGGAAGATAGTCAACAATGCACAGTCAGACAGAACATCAGAAACACGTGTGGTTGTTTGAATAGCACAAGGTTTGTTGAACACCTGGAAGTAGCTGAGCAAATTTGGCCACACAGCCACAGCCAGAGAAAGACTAAAATAGTATTAGAATCAGCCAGCTGGCCACACCATTGGAACCAAGCTCAAAGGAAGAGTGAAATCCATACAGATAATTGGAGGGAGGTACCAGTCAAAACAATCAGTTAATACAGTATCAGCAGGACATTTGCTCATTTATTCAAAAGAAATATACTGAGCACCTACTATATTCCAGGCATTCACACTTTCTGTCTCACACATGCAGTTACACAGAAATAAATCAACAAAGCATCATTAGCCATATACACAATAGGAGCTAATCATAATAATTAGACAAACCTAGTCACATAGATTGTCAGCTACTTAGGTGGTGTTCTGGTTACCTAGTGCCGCTCTGACAGAAAATATACCACAAATGGGATGCCCTTAACAAACAGGAGTTTATTCTCTTACAGTTTGGAGGCTTTAAGTCAAAGTTCAAAGTGCCAGGCTCTAGGGGCTGAGTGAAAGCCCCTCAACCTTGGGGTCCAGCTCTGCCTCTTGCTCCCAGCCCACTGGAGCTAGAGGCTTTTCTTCACTCAGACAGCTGCTGTCTGCTGAGGCTGAGAAGCCCCAAGGTTGACAAGTAAAAAGGCACGGTCCCGATATCACCAAACCACAAGGCAGGCCATTAACTTAAGTTCATTTTAAGTCCCAAGGTCTGCAGAGCATAGCAAGCTGCTGAGCAACGACATGGCTACATGTAGGATCCAAGCTTGCCATAGGCTAGAGACCAGTCTCAAAGCTTCTCCTTATATACAGGAAGCAGATCACATACCCAGAGGCAGCTACTCAGCTGCTCACAGTAGATTCCACCATGGAGTTGATTACCAGTCTCATCATGGGGAATACTACATCCAGCTGCCCAGTCACTCAACCAGGCCTAGCCAAGTTGACAAACAAACACAACCACCACACACATACATACCAGACAGAGTGCATAGACCCCATATCGTCAGAGGGAACCACCAGACACACAAAGATGTGCATTAACTACAGAGTCAGCCAGACATATATTTGGAACAAATGTATCATAGTACACTGCATGCACATACATACACATTAGCACAGCTGGAGTCAGCTATCATACACATACAACCAGACAGACTCAGCCAGTACGATGAATCCAGAATCAAACACAGAGTCAGCTGGATATATAGTCAGAGCAAGAGTCAAACATATATGATTGGAACCATAATACAGCGGACACATACAGCCATAGACAGGAATCACACACACACAGAGAGAGAGAGAGATGGAGTCTACTAGACACAGTCACAGCAAGTCACACATGCAATGCTGGCCCCATAGTATACTGCACACAGATATACACACACACCATTGGAATCAATGACCATGGGTTTACAGTCAGACAACAGCCAATCCAATGGACCCAGAATCAATCAGCTGGACATGTAAAGTCAGAGCAACCAAATGTCAAGCATATATTGCTGGGATCAGAGTCTATGGAACATAGTTGCTGTCAGCTACCATACAGCCAGCCAGAAAGAATCAGTCAATACAACAGTCACTGAGTCACATCTGCAGACAGAGTCTAAGTCTACTGGATATGTACAGTCATTCATACATGATCAGTATCACAGTACAGTGGACATCCATAGTAAGCCTTCAGACAGAATCCCAACACAACAGTCACAAAAGTCACCACATGGAGTCAACTGGACTCATACAGTCAGAGAAACAATCACACATAGTACTGGCAGCACAATACCCAGGAATCTATCTGCCCAAATGGGCCTGCCTAACAATCTCAAAATAGAACACCTGGGAGTCAGCTGGACAAACAGTTGAAGATAAGTGCTGGACCTCACAGGCAGAGTCAATGATCTGGAAGGGCACTGTGGGCCAGCAAATAATGTTGCTCACTCACCCCTCAGGCTCCATGCCCAGTAAGGTGCCAATAACCAGGGGGAGTTCAGATTTGATGATGAACAGGTAACTGGACATGGCTAGTACAGGCAGGAGAAGATGTAAGAAGTAAGATTCCTCTCTTCCCCTCGTCTTTCCCAGCCTAGGGAAGCCCACCTCACCCCACCCTCTTCCTTCAAGCTGACTCCCCACCTCCCAGAGTCCTCACCCCCAATATTGTGCAGACAGATGACCGTGGCCACCACTACCTTCCCTGCAGGCCGGAACGCCCTCTGTCCCAGGTGCTCATAGGCTCGGATGCCTGGGGTGGGGGGGTGGAAGAAGAAACAAGAATCGTGGGTCCAGGAGGCCAGGCCTGGGGAAAGTTGTGAGGGGGGGTCAGAGGGTATGGGAGCTAGGGAGTTGGGGTGCGGGGATTGGGTCTAACTGATGGGGGCTGAAGGTGAGGACTAAAGCTAGGGTTGTGCTTGAGGGTGGAGTCTGACAGGTGGGATCTGAGCCTGGGGACTGGCAGCCAGAGAGAAGGTTGGGGGCTAGGGATAGGTAGTGGAGGTCTTGGAGCCAGGATATGGATTGAGACCATGGTGGGAGTGAAGTCTGGGATCTGAAGCAGTGGGACCCTGGGAGATGATGGCTGGGGGCTGAGAAGTAGCGGTATGGGAGTGTGGGGCTGGCTTCCAGAGTAAAGGGGTGCAAGGGATTAAGAAGTGGAAGCTAGAGAGGGAGTGTAGTAGTCTAGGGTAGGAAGGGTCTGAGGAATAGAGTTTGATGGTCAGACTGAGGGGTGGGGAATGGGGATTGGGGCTGGGGATTTGGGAATCAAGATAAGGTCTGGAGGCCAAGATGAAGTTTGGAATCTGGAGTCCAAGGGGTTCAATCAGGGGGGGGTCTATATCTGGAACCTGGGGTCCCAGATCCAGAATCTGGGGTCAGTGTGATATGCCTGAAGTCTGGGGCTTGGTTAAGATTTGGACCCAAGTCTGAGGTCAGGGGGATGAGTCCAGGGTCAGTCCAGGGTCTGAGGCCCAATGTCTGGGTTGAAATCTGGGTCTGGGTCTGGGTCTAGGATCTTATGTCCAAAGGGGTGGAGATGGAGACTAGGGTCTAGGCTCTGGGACTCACCTACAACACCAGAACAGGTCAGCAGGAGATGGATAGAGTATGAAGACAGAAGTGCAATGCATAGCAGCAGGACCCTGTGGTAGATAGAGGAACTCAGACTTGGCCCTCAGGCCACCTGTGCACTCCACAACACCCCCCAGGCTGCCTATGAACTCACAGGAAGAAGATGATTCCTGTGTGGGCCATGGCGTAGGCCAGACCCAGGATGCCGCTGCCCATGATGGCGTTGCTGAGGTTGAACACTGACATTCCAAATGATGTCTTCCCCTCGAACTGCAGGCAGGAGCACAGCCCAGGCACACATGGGGAGGGGGTATCAGGTAAGGAGACCAGTGCTGGGACCAGGAAAAGACTGGGAAAAAGAGGCTGAGGAAGAGAGAAGTCCAGGAAGGACCATCGGAGGAGAGGAGAAGCTGGGAAGGGGAGCACGTTGAAGATGGAAAGAAGATGGAAAATGGAGAGCTGGGAAAGGAAAAACAAGGAGGAGAAACTTTAGAGGGGAGCAGCTGAAGTGAGGAGGAGTTTGAGAGGATGGATAGCTACCAGAGGCAAAACAGCTGGGAAGGACAGTAGCTGGGATGGGGAGCAGCTAAGGATGGGGATCACTTGGAGAGAAAGCAGCTGGAGGAGCAAAACAGGTAGAGGGGAACAGATGTGAGAGGAGTCACAGGGCAGAGGGAACAGCCAGGGAGGGGAGAGGCTGGGCAGGAAAGAGAGGGGGAAAGGGAGTACTCAAGGAAGGGGTAGTTCTGGGGGAGAGGGAGCAATGAGGAATATATAGCTGAGGAAGGGAAGGAGCTGGAAAGAGGGAGCAACTGGGCCAATGGTTATGTGGGGAGGAGGCACAGCTAGGGAGCAGAGTAGTTGGGAAGGGGGAGAGGAGAGTAGCTGAGGAAGGTGCAGTTGGGACAGATCCTTTGGGGTCACTCACATCCATGAATTGGTCTGGCTTCCTCCCAGGAGCAGGATTATGGCTGGGCAGGAAGCTCTTATGCTCCCGCCTGTAGTTAGATAGGGCAGGGGGATAGGAGCTGATGAGAGAGGAACCCTGATCCCTGATCCCACCGCCTCCTTGGACTCCTGACTCACCCCATAGCTCCTGCAGAGAGGGCTCCATTCATCTTTGGATCCTGCAGTTCCATCCTGTGGGCAGGAGAATTGAGATGGAGCAGGGTCACTACAAAGTGAGAAGAGTTAGAAAGAGTGGGGAGGAGATCAAATAAAGACAGAGAGATGAGGTGAGGAGAAAAGGAACAGAGAAGAATGGAGAGAGAGACAGAGAGATAAGTAGAGAGAGCTGGAGACAAGAGTAGGAGTCAGAGAGAGGAGAGAAGGAGAAGGAAACCAGAGAGGGAGAGACATCAACAGTTACTCAGAGAGGCACAGAGAATAAAGGGCAGCAGAGACGAAGGGCCAAGAGAGAGACCAGAAAGATACAGAAAAAGAGACAGACCCCATAGCAGATGGGATGGACATATGGAGCTGGAATAGCCTCTCCTCCCAAACACCAGACTCACTCTCTTTTTGCTGCTTTCTTTCCCAGATCTCCCACAACGCCCCACCATCACCACCACATGACCAGACTGCTCACTCCTAGCAGGAACACGTGTTGGCCAGGCTGCCCCATGCCTTTTAGAATGCCCCATTCCCCTCCTCCCAACCTGGGCCTAACCTGAGACCTGAGCTGAAGCAACCCCTAGAAGGGGCTGGGGGGTGAGGGGCAGTCCATGAACCTTCAGAGACCCCAGCCCCAGATGCCCTAAACTCCTCTCTGCTACAACTCCAGATGTCCTCACTAGCGGTCAAAAGACAATTCCCCAAACCTAAGACCACTCCCAAGGATAGAAGTAACTCAGTGACCCCCATTTAATCCCCCTCCTGGGGGCTAGAGGTATTTTCTAGGACCCTTGTCAAGTCTTAAACACTTCTTTTCTGGGCTGGAGTATCTTTGTCGACACTCCCAGACTTGAGACCCTTCCTCGGCTTGGGGTGTGTCAGGAACCTGTCCCAATCCCTAATTTCCCCTCCTGGGAATAAGCTATCTCTAAGACCTCATCAAAACCCCCCTTCCAGGTCCTGATGTGTTTCCTGGGGTAGGGGTGTCTCTCCAATCCTCATCCAAGCCTGGAGCTCTGTCCCATGGATGGAGTGTCTCTGAAGAAGCCCTCAAGTCCTGGCCTCACTTCCTAGGAATATCTCCAAACCACCATTAAAGGGCCGCATCAGCGCTAAAAATTTCTCTGGAAACCTCTCTCCAAACCCTGAATCTCCTCCCTGGAATGGGAAGGGGTCTCAAGGAGACCCATCCTAAGCCATGAGCACTCTCTGAGGACTCCCAAGCACTCCTGAATTCATTTCCTGGTAGTAAGGTACCAAAAGGCGCCTCTTCCCCATTCAGTTCCCCACCAGTGCTAAAAATGTCTCCAGGGAATCCCTGTACCCCTTCCTGGGACCCCACTCATACTTTGGAGTCTCTGGCGAACCCTCCCCACCCCCTGCACTCCCTCCTCACCTCCGGGCTCCTGTCGGCTCTACAACCTGCTGCAACTCAGATTTGGACTCTGGGACCCCACAGTCCTCAATGCTCCCGCTCAGGCAGGGTCCTGCCCCCGCCCCGTTCCGTGGCCAATCCGCCCCTCCGGCGCCTGTACCGCAGCCAATCAGCACTGCCCACTGGCTAATCACCGCTGCCCGCGCCCCGTCAGGCCCGCGGTTTTTTTTTTTTTTTTTCTGGGAAGAAGTCTTCATTTTAATTCAGTTTCCCTCCTCTGGGCTCTAGGCGGGAGTAGGGGTGGAGATAGTGGGGGAGCGGATGGGGAGGCAGGAGCCCCGTGTATCTGGACCCGCTGGGAGGGTCACCAAGGTTTGTGTCTTGTGTCTTGGGGCGCTGAAAGGGGAAGATGGAGTTAAAGATTGAGGGAGTAGATCTACATCAAGAAAGAAAAACAGGTAAACAGAGGGAACAGACCCAGGGTCAGACAGACAGCGGGACAGATGGAGGGAAAAGATACAGACAGGAGACAGAGAAAGTGTGTTAAGAGAAGCAAGCAGTCACGAATAAAGACAGAAGGCGGGCAGACAGGAGAAACAGAACAGACAGACAAACCAGAGAGGACTGTAGGGAGTGGTATGGTAGACAAGCAGAGGGATAGTGATGGGGAGAAAGATATACAAATAGATTCAGACAGGTGGGTGGGGATATGCTCACACAAATACCTGGAGGAAAGCAACAGGCAGTAAGGCCCAGTAATAAACAGGAGACACAAGCCATAGATAAACAGGTGGAGACAGCCAGACACAACCCCACACAGAGGCTGGGTACAAACACACCAGCCCAGAGAGATAAGAGAAGAGAGGGGAGTGGTTGAGGCAGAAAGATACCTGGAGGGACAGATGACAACAAGCAGAGAAAGTCAGATTCTGGCAGAGGAGCAGGCAGGATAGACACATAAGCCTAGGGACAGCAGTGGAAGAGGTGCCGGGGCAGACACAGGCAGGCAACTATGGATAGGCTTTAGATAGATCTTAGATCCTGAGATGGAGGCAAGAAGGACATTTGTGGTTGGGTGGAAAGCTTGGATGCAACTAAGTGCCTGAGAATCCTAGCCCCCAGCCCAGGCATGGAGTTGGGCATATCCAGGCTCTAACTGAGATTCTGCACTGTCTTGGTCCACACCATCCAGCCACATGGCATGCATGTCTGTCCCAGGCAAGAAAAAAAAAAAATGTGTCCCCTGCAAGGAGTCAGGCAGGGTGGAGTTGGGGTCAGGGCCCAACTTGGCTGAACTGTTTGAAACCCAGGCAGACAAGAGTCCTCTCTTCAGGCCCCACCACCCACCTGCCCACTCCCCACAGAGATCACAGCAATTCTTGGAAAGGCCAGGAGCTGGCTGGGGCTTCAAAGCCAGCCTAAATGCTCCCACCCCACATACAGTTGGAGGAGGGAGAGGCGGGGCATTTACTGTCCCACAGCAGGAGAGCAATTCCTGCTCACTTGGGGATCACAGCTACACAACAGGCACCATCACAGCTCAGGGAGAGACCATAGGGGCAGACTCACCATCACTCAAAGAAGTGTAAACAAACATGGCCAAAATTGTACACAGATTCACAGCCACATATGGAGAATACAGGCCAACAGACTGAACACGCATAGATTCACCACCCACTCAGAATCCAGGCTCACAGCACAGTTACACACATACATGGCTACACAGAGTTACTATAGTCTCACAGGTATCATCACCTGCAGATTCATAGCCACACACAGAAAGCACAGACTGACACATATTTACAAACACTAAATATTCATGGATATCATTACCTACAGACCAACAGCCAAACCGAAGAGAACCAACAGACAGGCAGATCACACATAGTCACCACCACACACAGAATGTACAGACAGAGAGGATTACACTCAACTGACCACATCATGCATGGGCCCATGTCTCTCCAGCACACATGATTCCAGGTTCAGGCAGCCCTTGGGGCCAACTTCCAAATTCAGGCTCTACGATAATATCTCTGAGCACGTGAACTTGTGTGGCTGTGACCACAGAGAGGCAGACATGACTGTATAGCCAGAAAAGCCACAGTCACAGACACATGCACAACTGTATTCAAGCAGATAATGATACACCCTCATGTACACACACAGAGCTATTCACAAATCAAGTCAGATAAGAAACAGAGAACACATACAGTGCACAAACAGAAACATAGGAATATAGAGAGTACATTTACTGTCATTATAAAGAGGAAAAGCAGAAAGTACACCTAAAGCTACGTGAAAGGAATAGGAACCAGACAATATAGACACAGTGGCACCAAAAGAAACAACCACAGGGCCCACACAGCTATAGCCATTCACCAAGGAGACACAAACATGGTGGTAGACACACAGAGAAGAAAGGCACACATTCATAGAAGACACACACACAGGAAAGAGAAATACTCTAATACACTCATGACCCACAAATATTACAAAGGAGATACATACATACCAGGAACACACATACACAACCCTATATACATGAATTGTACAAGCAGACAGTACTAAGTCACCAGAAAGGAAATACATGAGTTGGACAGGTAGCCATACATAGAAAACAGAACCAGGCAAGTTACACAGGACACATATGCAGCTCACATACATGTGGTTGTGACAGAGGACAGATGAGATATGCTCAGGGTACTCACACAAACACACATCCTTGCCCAACCCCCTCCAGCTGCTCTCTCTCCTCTTTGGCCAGCCTCTCCTATCCTAACCTACTCTGATTTCTCTCTCCTCTGACACTCCTCTCCCCACAGCACACACACCACCCCAAGCCATTACACATCTGTGTTACAGGCTGGCCAGGGAAAGAGACACCTGTCATCAGAGACCTTGGCCCAGGTGACAAAAGAAGGGGGCGGGTAGGGAAGCTAGGCAGGTGTCTGGATTTCAAGAAAAGTGTGAAGTGTTCTCCTTATTGTAAAAAGTCGAGGAAAGGTTTATATATGGAAAGAAATGTTCTTTGTTGGTTGCCAGGGGTGGGAGGGGAGGGGAGGAAACACTGCAAAAATAAAAATAAAGTGTGAAGTGTTCTGTACAAAAAACTAGTGTACCTTGGACAAAAGATAGACACTTGGCACCCACCACCTCTGGGTAACAGCATTCTGCTCTGACCATTCCCCTACCTATCCAGGGCCTTCCCTAGCCCATTAATATTGCCCAGCACAGGACCCAGGCACACATCAGGTGCTCAATAAATGTCATTTATCAATTATATCAGCATCAGTATTATTGTTATTTCTACCATGTGAACTCTTCTAGGGGAGGGATGAGCCTGCATCCAGCTATGCACCCCACAGCATAACTATGCTTCAGAGCACTGCAAATAGCAGGTCCCAACATATGCTGGTAGAAGGGAAAACAGGGAACATGAAATCTGGCTGTGAAAGGCAGTCTGCTTTAGAAGGAACAGATGTCTTGAAGCATGAGAGAGGCCTTGAGGCTGTGCCAAGGGTAAAAGCACTTTCTTAGTTCATCAAAGTAGGGCCCCTTCTCGGGGTCACTTAGGGTTCTTGTTGGTTCATTAAAGCTGATGCTCATGTGACATTTTGGATTCTTATCCAGTTTGGGGTATCATTTTTG